TCGAAAATTCACAAGAAATTGGAGAAAATTACCCAAATTCTAATGAAAGTCAAAGTTCTCAAGACGGTCTCTCTAATATTGAAATTGTTGGAAGAAATCACTGTCAAGACGCTATTGCTGTTAGAGAAAAATTTAAAGAGTACTTTGTTTCTCCAGAAGGACAAGTACCGTGGCAAATGGATATGATCAGACAAGGCAGAATAGACTAGAGTCTCTCTCATATAATTCATCATATCATAATCATCATCATAATAGCCCGGAACAGTCCACTGCAGGACTAAGGGCCTCCTCCACATAAATGGAGGGGTTTGCCATAATCTCCACGCTTGGAGATCGGTTTGTTACCACTGGTGGTACTAGTGGGAAAAGTCATTCTCTTTAGTACCAGGTCATATAATTACTTATCTTAAAATCCTTAAATCCCAAGTTACTCTAAACACCTATGTACTTTTAAATTTCCGAAAAAAATACTTAAGTATCAACAATTATCATATCGTCGTTACCCGCGAATAATCGTCATTAAAAAAATATAATAGTCATTTCACACAATCAACAATATAGGTAGGTACTAAGTATAAATAAAAATTACTACATACATACATATATACAAAGCATCACTTTTGCACGATATTCACGGGGAACATCGATATCCATTATTAATAATATACCTACTTACTACTACATCTAGATGTAAAAAAATATAAACAATACAATTACATACCTGGTAGTTTTATTTTTAGAGATATTTCCTCCCACGCCGAATTTCTTTTTAATTGGTCTTTATAATCTTTGTGCTTTTGATTGTACAATATTTCATAGTTTCTCACGACTTCAATTAATTCGTCTGACATTTTTAATACACGTCCACTGTTCTACGTCGCCACTCGGCTGTCTGCGCGTGCCCACGCGTTATTACACTAGACCCGACTGCGCTGACGCGTCACAAACCCCACCACCGACCCCGCGCCGATCGAAATCGCTCGGTCTGCGTGGCGTCAGCAGGCTCTGCGACACGCGGGACGGGACTAATGTAATCAATCCAGTACTAAATGTATGTAACCGATAGCTTACCCACGCGTTGCGACACGCGGCGTGGGCTAAATATAATTGCGGCTTTAGACTATTTTCGATTTAGGGATCCGTTTGCGAAATATTTAACTTTTAAGTACAAATTGTTGTTCGAGTAGGGCGTCCCCCCCTCCCTCCAATAGCTAAACTATTGGCTTGAAACACCTGGAAAAATGTTGTATATTTCTAGTTAAGGAAAACTATAACGGTTAAAATAGATTTGTTAGTTTAAGAGTAATATTCGTTCAACTTTGGTTGAAAGAAAAATTCTTACCTATTGAAAATTCCTTACAAAAATCTTTAGTAGAGTCTGTGCGGAAAGAGAATGGGATTTAGATTGGGGGGCGCTGTAGTGCTTTTCTACCGTATTTGTAAGGTTTTACCCCTTTTAGACATGATTAAATACAAAAAATTGCAAAAAATCACAACAACAAACAAACCCTATCAATACAAAACTTTGACGTTTTACAGATTGCTGGGTTTGATTGCCAAATAAAAATCTTCATGTTAGTTCCGTTTTTCGCCACGCCCATTCTCTTTCCGCACAGACTCTAGTGACATAGATGAAGTGATTGTAGTGTAAAACCTTGCATTGAAAAACAAATTAAAATAAAACTGTTACCCATACAGAAAATAAAGACTCCTGCTCAAATATATTGTGGTAACGACAGGCAACTACGGAACCCTACACTGCGCGTGGCACGACACGCACTTGGCCGGTTTAGCGTGATAAACTCACAAACTTGCACTCCCATTATTTCTCATAATTTAATTGGTGGTTGAAAGGGGGATGGATTATTCGACAACACAGTTTTGCTTTCCACAGAGCGCAGTGGGAAGCGCCACGAATGATATCTACGGCGAAATCCTCTAATATCATGAATTAGATACTTTGTATGTTTGTTACTCAATCACGCAAAAACTACTGAACGGATTTGGATGAAATTAGGTACTATAGTATTATTTTTTAAATTGAGAGAGAATTACACAAAAACATTCTTATCAACAACTCGCGAAGCCGTGCCCGAATGCTATTTGCTGGAATCTTCGATATGAAACAAAAGATCCTCATATTCAAATCTTTAAAATAATGACAATTACTTTTTAATATAACTGCAGCCGTAGGCATTACTTAAGCAAAGAGTTTACACAAGCAAGCAGACCGTAACTCTACGGGCGTTACAGTACACATATAGTTTATGACTTGGGTTGAGACATACGATACTTTTTATCCTGGAAAATGTCAGGTTCGTTTGGGATTTTCAAAAAACTAAAGTTAACGCGGAAATAAGTCGCGGTCGGCCGCTAGCGAGTAGATAAACATAAAAAAATGCAGCGCCACTGCAAATCTGTAAAGCAACAGCGTTGTCTAAACACTCTGCTATATTATTTAATTTAGGCGGAAAATTATTAATTAATCACTTAATTAAATTAACTTCTTACAATTTTACCGTATTACGGCTACATTTGCAGGGACATCAATGTCTGTTCTATTTAGGGCTTCCAATCCCGATATTCCGAGATCCCGCGCCTTTTTCCAGTCCCGCTCCTAGCGGGATTACGAGCGCGGGATCCCGCGGGATTTGCGGGACTGCAAATAGGAGACTGCTGAGAACAATGACAACGAAGACGTTGTTCAGCAAGGAAATCAACTACGTGAAGTCACAAATAGAAACTATGAAGACGTTTCCGATCCTAACCTTTCACTTACCTTGCAGCAGGAGTTAGAGTTGACTATATCATCAGCATCCCAGCTCATATGTCCGTCGCCATCTCGGGCTAACACACTCGAGTCCATCATAAAAAAAGAGATGACTCTTTATGAATCTGAGGGCTTCATAGGCAAATATCTATGCTTTGCGTACAACGCCTTAAAAGGAATTCCGCCAACTAGCGTGGAAGCTGAAAGGGCTTTTTCGGCGGCTGGTTATATTGCGTCTAAAATTCGTAGTAGTTTGGCTGACGACACCTTAGACATTTTATGTTTTCTTCGCAAACATTTTCAAAAAAATATTGGTCAAAGCAAATGATAAATTTGATATTTTAATAATTTGTCTTAAATTATAATTGAGGTCCTTATAGTTCCTTACAGTTTGTTTAACATAGGTTGATTTTAATCTCAATAGAACTTATAGAAGTGCAATGTTATTTTTTTATGTGTAATATTTAATATTTAAAAGGTAAACTATAATAAAAGTTTAAATACGTTGATTATTTCGTTGTTTTATTTAGCTTAATAATTGATATCATTAATTTCTATGCGGGATCCCGCAAATACCGGGATCCCGCAGGATCGAAAATTTGCAATCCCGCAAGTACCGAGATTAAAGATAGGCTGCGGGATTGGAAGCCCTAGTTCTATTCATAGAGTCACATGATTTGAATAATTCGTTAATTTTTACTGTCTCCCGAAATTGTTTACAAGCTATAAGTTGAAATCAATTTCTCTCAAAATCTAAACGCCCTATTGTATTAATTATTAGAGAAGCATTGATAAGATACCACCTAAATGGAACAAACGTAGTGCTAGCCTGTATCCATGGGCGTAGCCACGGTGGGGCAGGGTGGGGCCCCACCTTGACTCTGACTGTAAGGTACTAAACCAAACTTAAAAAATTAAATTATCTAGGTACTAACTACATTACTTAGGGCCTGTTTCACAATCGCTGAGTAAAGTTCTCAATAACAATCTTAGAAATTACCTGCTCAGTAAACAAATAGGGATGTTGACTTTGACATTCACAGGGAAATCTCGCTTGCTTTTAAACGCTTTTCCAAAAAAAACATCACCCCTAAGCTTTACTTAGCAGATTAGCTTTACTTAGAACTTTACTCAGCGATTGTGAAACAGTCCCTTAATATCAGTAGGACTTACATTCTGTAACGCGTGTGTTTTTACTTAAATCATGGGAAACTCACTGGCTTTAAACTAAGGACCGTGTTGGTAAATACAACTTTCATATACAGCAGAATATTCCATCCAGACCATGATTTTTAAGGTGAAAAATCTTAATAAAAAAGTGATAGAGTATGTGCGGAAAGAGAATGGGCGTGGCGAAAAACGGAACTAACATTAAGATTTTTATTTGGCAATCAAACCCAGCAATCTGTAAATCAAAGTTTTGTATTGATAGGGATTTATTTGTTGTTGTGATTTCTTGCGGTTTTTCTAAAAGGGGTAAAACCTTACAAATAACCAATAACTAATAAACCTTGTCAAAAAATAAAAAGTGCTTATTTTATTATCCAAAACTCTGATTTTCAATTATCATTTCCTTACGTGTAATGGCTAATTAATCACTTGAAATTTTCGGAGTTGTGATAAGTCAAAAAGCAAACTATCATAAAAATTAGAAGAATAGTGTGACTGGGTGTTAGTTTTAAGTCATAAATTACACTAAAATGTTTGTGGTGGCCTTACAGGGTTCTCGTAAGATCTGTATAAACAACACAAGAAGACAAACTTATAAATGAATTTTAAAACCTTCAAAATAAAAACCTAATTCAATATTGAATATTATATTATTAGAAGCTTAACTAACAATGTATCATATCAATGTCACGATCAAACGTACCTATTCATAAAAATATAATATAAACATTAACATGTATAAATAAAAGTTATTTCTTTTTGCATTATAAAATTGCAAAAGCAATTACAATAAGATAACTGCCTGGTATCCTAACCTTCCGGTTGTTTATCAACAAAACGTAACCGTGAATGGTGTGTGGTACACAAGTCAGCATAAAATGTTCAATTTTCACAATCGATTACGAATCGTAAATCAAGATCATAAAGCCCAAAATTAGTTGGAGCATTCTGTAAGTTTTGGGTAACTTGACCTGTGGCGTTCTGTACATTGAATCAAGTTTGAGGCACGCACGTTTCTGGGCCGCATTCAGTGAGCGAAGTGCGAGCCCGTTACTCAGACGCGATCGCACGTACGACTTTATCAACACACTTTAGCGTCCACAAACTAAATTAACTTCGAAAATTTAACAGAAAAAAATGGAAAGCAACAAAGACAACAGTTTCCCGTTTAAAATAGAGGATGTGCCTAAAGAGCAAGCCGAAGAACTTATGAAGTACTTTCACGGTAAGTTCAGTTTTATTCTAAATTCTTCTGGCCTAATTCTGACCGGTTATTTAATTGTATAATCGGTATCATAAGCAGACATAAGTCGGTACTAAATACTTGTAACTTTATCATTTTTTTTACATTTTAGTAATTTATAAAACATAACATTGTTTGTAAGTAAATAAAGCTCTAGAAATAAGTATAAAGATTAAAATATCACGCTTATCTTATACCATTAAAAAGATAAAAATTAAATTAAAATCCCAAGCAACTTCTATTCGGTGCTAAAGACAAGTCATGAACACTTTCTTCCTATTCGTTTTACGCACAAAGCTTTTAAATAAGCAACATACCGACTAAGTACCTACTGAGAACATATCAACATTTCAATCAAATAAATACAGAGTATTAATCAAACCCTATCTCGTTATCTAGCAATATAACATAAGAAAGTTAATGTCATGTATATATACCTACATACTCGTAGTCTAGACTTTGTCTGCGTGGAATAATTTACTTTCCTTAAAACTTTCATACTTAATTTCACGTCCTCCACCTTTCAGTTTATTGATAAAAACACAGAACACAGAAAAAGGGTTAGGAGGGTGATCATAGACCGTTTGTACGTGAACCGATGTCGCCGGCTCGCCCCCACTACACTTCCACCTAATAGATAATAGCCAATCAAACGACGCGACATCAAACAATCGAACCGATCAGCGCTCACACCCGAGAGCAACGACGCAATCAGAACCAAGTTTTGGTCAAGTTATGAGCATTTGCTCACACATAACTGTGGCGCGCCTGCCCTGCCTACAAGGCCGTTCTAACCTCTTTCTGTGGAGTAAAAAGTACAACAGATCTTTCTCCAAGATCTCCTTTTTCCCTATACCAATAAACTGATCAAAATTGATTCAGTTCTTTAGGCGTGAAAGGGAACTCTGTCTATCAGATTCCCTTGGCATCTAAAGTACTAAGTTATTGATTGCAATAGTATTTTTCAACTTTAAAGTCAGCTTAAACAAGCATTTTTTTTAATAACCTCTTTTTTATTCAGTCAGTCCATTTCTTTCCACTAATTGCTTCAACAGTAAATATATTAATGTTATTTCTGATGCAATTTTAGTATTTATTGCACATTACAAATCAAGCACCTAAATACTAAATATGTACTCATGTCTGTAACTTTGCGAGTACTGCATCGGTTCGTAAGCCTTGATTTATACATTAAAAGCGAGAAATGCGACAAAACCTCGATCGCTACCAAATATTAAAGTACCACAATAGTAGCTGTGAAAACTCCTTATAATTACTGTAGAAAGTACTAGAGATAATGTAGAGCAAGTGAAAAAATATTAACATTTGAAGCAACAAACTTGAATAAATATATGAATATACTATATTCTTAAACTTGACCGAAAGTGTTTTTTCTGTCTTCGCCCATATACTAATTTTATAATAAACATAGCTAGGAATCTATAATTATTGAAAATATATGAAAAAACAAAATCTACATAAGATATTATTATACCGGAACACAGAATAAATGTAGTCATTATCTATCTTTATGGTGACAATTTTGCATTGCTACCTATTATAATTCATTCTGCCTATTTAAAAATACTATTAATCAATGTGTGAAACAAACAAAACATATATATTTAATAAACATTTATATTTAACGCAGTCCATTACAACAACAACAGACGACGAAAACGCGCTCATTGCGATAATAATGTTATCGGTTAATGACACGATCGACAGATAGCGCGAAAACTAAGGACACAGATTTAATAGGAATATCATACCTAGTCATTACATATTTTCATTTTTTTGATGTCAACATCTTTCCTCTCGCTTTCCTGCAATTTGTAGAGTGATTTCATGAAATGGGACGGCAGTGTTAACAGGAAGTCGCGAAAGCGCGCGCTATTTGATTTGATTTTAGAACATAATGTTCAAATGACTTATTCCTTTTGTAATAGGTTTTATTTCTTTTTTTACTAATATAAGGTGAGGTTTCAAATGTTACACATCATACGTGACTACTGTAAGGCTCGCTCGTTTTTTTTTATTTTCGTTAACTTAACATTTAATTTTGTTTAATGTTTTTTATCACATCTATTCCAAAAGAGCTTGTTTGTTCTCTGTTTATAGAGACCGAATAGCATTTTAATCCCTAGAAAATAAAAGTGATTTGAATTAGGAATGTGTTAAAAATAAAGTTTTCATACATCGATAACGACTTTAATTAGAGAAGTCTCTCTGGTAGGCCGTAAAATGACAAAAGGCTCTATGTCAGTCCCTATCACCTTGGCAAGATCCTTGGCACACTGCAAGCATCTGACCCTTGCTCTTGACGTCTTCAGCCCAGCAGCGGTGAGTGAGATAAACAAGAAGATCACCAGCAAGACGACCGTGACGGAAACCATTTTATTGGTAAACGCTAATTAGCTGATACTCCTTAAGGTACCCCTAAACGGCAGATATAAAAAAGGCCCAATCAAACGGCATATTATGTTAAATATTTTGACAAAAAGCTCGTAGAGTGGGTATTGGTAAAGAAAGGAGTTATTTAAGATAATTCCAAAAAAAGGAAAACAAAACTATAGATTTTAGTATAATTTTATATTATTTATAAACAGAATAGATAATAAAAAACGCCAATACACGAAACAAACAGGTTGATTAGTTTTTCAAGAACCAAAATATGTTCGTTCATGTTTGTCCAATTTTGATCCCTTGCTGTCTTTTTTTGATTCCCCCCCTGTCAGTCACACAAAATGTAACTTGATTTATTTTCGGAACCACTCGGCCAAAAGCGATGTCCTCCACTTTACAAAAGACAATAGTAAAATAACACGACCTACCTTTTGGTGTTGTCTTGCTTCTGTCGGTGAGTAAGTCGGAGGATTGGATCAGACAGACCGCTCTTTCCCAGTGGGCACTTTGGGCAAGTGCCCAGGGCACCGCGATCGATAGGGGCCTCCCTCAGATCAATAGTTCATGCCAGATCACCAAACGATAGCCAATATTTATTACCAAAAAACTTATATGATTCCATGAAATCGAACCTAAATTACTGACTACAATACCAACTTACTAGCTTTTACATAAGCAAAGCTATTCTACTCTCTCGGTATACTAAGCACAAACACATTTTAAAGAAAAATCATCCGTAGTACTCTCATCAGCATGCCTCTCTCCATTTCCAGTCATAATCCACATCAAAGTTATAGGGGCCCCATTATCCTAATATGCCCAGGGCCTCCAATAGGTTAAAGTCGGCCCTGGGATCAGGGTAGGCAACGGCGCTAGAGATTTTTTGGTATCGCAAGCGTCTATAAGCTATGGTGGCCGCTTACCATCAGGCGGACCATAAGCTTGTTTGCCATCCTTTTAACATAAAAAATCTGGTAAACGTAGCCACAATTTTCAAACCTTTTAAAATTAGGTATATATACCTACCTGATCTTAAATGGTTTGTAAGGCGTAACAAAAATCGTTTTCGCTAAGATATGAATAGGAAGTCGGTGGTATATTACTTGTATAATTACCTACTCTGCATATACTCAACCTTGGATGGCTAACGTAAGTTAAACCTAGACGTTGTTGCATTGAAAGTTAATAACTCAAATGCTACTCTACTAGGTATCTATAAATATCAAGGAAGTGAGAGGAAATGAATTGTTGATTGAATCTAATGTAGCAATATTTGATCGTGTCCTACACTTCCAATCAACCAATTTCGTAAACTATTATAAGGTGTCCTTTTATAATGAGTGCAAAAGTCTTTCGTCTGGTTTTGGTAAATCTAGTATGACACGGATAAAACTTTCAGAAAAAAAAACATGAAATATTGGATAACAAAAGTTTAAACCCAAAAGTTATAACCCAGATTTGCTTATAGTTTTGGTTTGGGACTAAATATTTTTTTCCTTGTTTCCAATTTATTAATAAGTAGGTATTGATCCTGAAATACAATAAATACGCCATCGTTCCTAGAAAATAATATCTAAGTACTACACTACATTTACACGCTGAATTTCTGAAAATCCTTCGTCTAGAGAACAATTTTCAAACAAAACCTCTAGCCACTAATAATTTACATATTTATTTCTAGCTCGTGCGATGACTTTGTTTATATTATTTTACTAGTTGCTTTTATGGTTAAGGTTTCACAACAGCACTGACTGACATTCAGGAGTTAACGATGTTTTAGGTAGGTATTAGAAATTATATTTTACATGACGGAATTAATAATTTGACACGATTTAATAAATGATAATTTATATCATTTATTAAAAATCCCAATGAGCAAAGTGATAAATTACATGTTAATTATAAACGTTCCAATATATATTTTCATTTTCAACTTTAAACGACCTTTATTGGAGCACCATATTCCAAAACCAGTCCAGTTTTCGCGAGATAAATGTAACTTTTACAAATTAATAACGGCTGAAACAGGCCTTCTCTATTGATGGAATGGTGAGAATGGACCATGACGTGAACGTGACCCATCGCGTGTGTCTAGGATTGGATTTGAAGATAAAGCATTTCTCAGTTGATGCAATTTAAATAAACGTTTATCTTGTATTTTCCAGGTGAGCTAACCGGTTTCGTAAAAGTAGGACCAAAGGGATATTTCTTTCCACATAGATATAAACAAGAAGCTGCTGATATCTACAACATGCCAGTTAGGTCTACCGATGTATTCATCAATAGTTATCCAAGATCCGGTAAGTTGTTGTGATTGCGTAGAACAATTATGTAGGTAATTTTAATCGCCGTAATTCACAAATTATACTAACAACTTACTGTGGGCGATCGGGACTTCATGCATACAAAATTCCATCGTACTTCCATTTACTTAAAAAATTTAAACCCGGTAAAGTGGTTGGCTACACCAATCTTCTTGCCAACAAAATATAACACACTTTTATTTAAAATAAAAGGAATATAATGTACCTATAATATGGTACCTATATTTCTTATCAGACCTAAATTATTTTTGACTTTTTAGTTCTCTTTATTAACAACCAATAAAACTTGTTATAAAAAAAGTATTTTTAAGTATTTATTATTATTTCCGAAAATTTACTACATAATCGCATTCTTTTGACGTCTTTTCCTTTGTGTAGTAGTGTCTTTTTAACCATGTTGTTCCCACAAGTACATTTAAGATATACAAAGGAACTGATGAGGTTGCATGCGGATTTATCTAGGATCAAATTACTTATCAAGACTAATCAAACGAACCCTAAATAGATGCGGTTACGCCGTTTTATTTCAAAGATCCTATGACCACCTTCCAACTCCGTCACTAAATCAGCTAAAGATGTATAAAATATTAATAGAAGCTAGTAAAATCCTCTTCTGCTTCTTTGACTCACCCGCAGATTCATTTTCAATTATCACTTTTCAGGGACAACGTGGACACAAGAATTAGTATGGATGGTAGCCAATGATTTAGACTATGCCAAATCAAATGAAATACCGCTGGCAGAACGATATCCGTTTTTAGAGTAAGTTTCTAGTGTCCTCTCCTATATGTTAAAGTAGCGAAGTGCGGTCCTTCCCAAATAGGGTCGCATCTTCTGAAATACTAAAATGGACTTGCCAGATATTATCTTCAATTTATGCTTCACCATGCAGGCGACCGCAAGCTAAACTAAACAGGTGGCAATGCTATCCCCGGACAGCACTATTTCTAGATCAGGGGTTCCCAACGTTTTCTTGGTCAGGGACCACTTTTACATTTTATGTTTTTGGGACAGACCACTATTTAGTCACTAAATAACTAAACTTTAGTGTAATAAAAATAAACTGTAATAATCAAACTGAAACTTTAATTAAAAATCTAATATGAAATTAAATAAAAACAAATAATAACATTTGTAGCGGGCGCGCCCGCTAAATTTAAATCCATTCACGGACCATATTTTGGCTTCTGCGGACCACTGGTGGTCCACGGACCACTGGTTGGGAATCATTGTTCTAGATAATAGCAGCATTTTACCTGAAATAAAATGCATATTAAAATACTTACCTCACTGAAAGCTTTATATTGAGATAGCACTTCCGTTTCCCGTCGAATTACCATCAGTTTCCGTACTTTTAATCACCTTATATCCGGTCCAGTGGCGACACCTGGCAGAAGCGCGGCCATTTTTGTTTTCCTAAGTTTTGACAGCGCCATATTAACTCATTGGCTCAATTATTTCACCAGGCAGAATTTAAAGTGAAAGCTTTCAGTGAGGTAAGTATTTTAATATGCATTTTATTTCAGGTAAAATGCTGCTATTAAACTACTTGACCGTCACTGAAAGCTTTATATTGAGACCTGTTTGTTATCGACTGGTGATCGCCACGTACATAGATATATACGCCAATGTGACAATTTATGATAAATTTAAATATTAACATTTATCAGATTATATGAAACTGTTTATAGAAACGAAAAAGCTTAAAAATGGATCAAATAACATTATTTGAATCCCGCCTTTATTTTCTTCACGCTTACGAAGCTGCTTTAACATATGTATTAGCTGATTGCTATATTTCTTTACTTAAACTTGCTTACTTAATTATATATATATTTGCTTTCTTAATGACCGGACGCTTCCTTGTGTAGCATTTATTTGTATCTTTGTTTATCACAAAAAGGCGTAGGAATGCGAGAAAAAGAAGTAAAGTTGTTCGATACTGAGCCTTACATTTTACAAGACTGCACTTTTTTCTTAAGTACCAAAATTCAGGGTCCCATTTACGATTACCAGTATTCGGTACATGTCACCAATCGGATTGTCTCTAACTACTTTCACCTGTTTTGAACCAAAACAAGGCTAAAACTAATCTTCGTCGGTACCAATACAATGATTCGGGTTAATTTGAACGAGGAACAAGTCATGTGTACCACATGCTGAACCAAATAATACGCAGCATAATTACTGTATGATATTCAGAACAACAATTAGTATGACGAGGTATTTGAAACAGATCATTATGATGTAACGAGTACATTATTGAAGAAAAGGAAATAAGTTAACTTATAGATTCTCCAGAATAGTGGGTTACGGACAGATTCTTTAAAAACAATCGACTTTAATATATGTGTTTGCCAAGACAGGTAAGCTTGGGTAATTAGACTTATCATCCATTGGTATATCATGTAAAAACTACCGACTTATTTAAAATAATAGTACTTATTTTGAGATAAGTCACGTGTTAAAAATAAGTCTCAAAAATCGTGTCAGCTCAGATCCAAGTCCACAACCTGCGGGATTATTCCGATAAACATTCTTGTTCCTAGACCAATGCAACCACGCAAGCCAGCGTTTTCGAGCCATCTGATACAGACAGACAGAGCTGTCGCTCTTTGTAGAATATGATGAAAAGCGTAGTGCTAGCATATCTATATGATTGGAGTGGAGATTGAAGTGAAGTGGTAGAGCCGTGTTCTTCAATTATACTTCCCAAGCTTTCATATTAGATTAGATTGGCGGGAAGTGATTGCAAGGTCGATTGCAGTGAATACATAATTATTGTTAGAAGTAGGGAGTGGTTGATACAACCCCACTCAATGACAAAAATGTTGAAACCGATCAACTTCTGAAGTTTACTCTTTTACAACGAAATTCTCAGGTATAGTTTTTATATTGTTGCAGGGTTGCCGTGATAAATTATGCTATTACGAAGTTTAGACCAGATTTTATGAAATTCATTTGCCATCCTGGAATCTATAATTGATTATAATTTTTCCTTTTGTTTTTTCATTTCTTATATCAAGGTCATTTATATGTATTAGTTAATACTTAATAAAGATTAAGTTATCTATAAGATTTACACAGCTTACTTGAGGTGTGCATGTAGTATGCGTAGGGTTTAAAGTATATTTATTCCAGACAATCGTGGCAAGGTGAGAAAGCGTAAGTTTAATATTAAGAACAGTTTTCAGTATTTTTTACTAAAAATAACATAAAGTGGATAATTGCATACAATGATCTTCAAAACCTTTCAAGAATTTGGTAGATCGTGCAATCTTTCTTCGGTACATAGCACCACTTATATATCAAAATGATCATGTTGACCATCTCAGACACCTCATACACGACATTTCCAATATTGCATGTTTGCTTTTGCATTTGGTTTGCTTTTGTTATTTTCAAGGGAAAATATGTTATCATCTATCTATCTGGCAGATAGTCCTTAAATTGCAGAAAAGTTAGAATTCTTTACATTTTTATAGTGCACTGCTGCACTTGAGATTGGAGTTTGATATATATTGAATTTAGATAAACAAGCTTTTGAATGGCATGCTATACCACCAAATTTATTTAAGAATTATTTGTGGTGCTCCCAATTTACCAATTCTCCTGCACTATATTTCAAACATTAATTGTTTCGACATTCCTTTTCCTTTTGAAATTATTACAGCACGTCCTTGATAACTATATTACGGTAGAACAACCGTAGTGATCGAGTCTACACTTCACACCAATTAGCCTAGCCTCTTAATAGGCATTGAAAGGCTTGTGTTATGGGCTAACGCATAGAAATGCATAATGATGATGCATAGATTAGTATGATTTTGAATAAATATGTGTTAACAACCAAGACTTAGGCACCGATGCTCGTTTTTATCATACAATGATTTGCCCCACCGGACCTCTGAGTATGCGACACCTTAAAAACCAGTGTACATTGCACTTCACAACGGGGTACATCAACATTCGATCTTCGATCTTTCTAGTCTATTAAGAGGGTAGTTTATAACCGATACTTATGTGTGTACGCAAGCCATGAGCGGCTATGTTGCGTTGCGTTGATGTATAGATTTCCACACGATGGAAGTAATGAATTATGTCAAGCGATATTTATTATATTTTCAAATTACTTATTTTTAATGTTTCGAATCGTTTGCACTTTTACAGACCCCATGGTCATAAAAATAAATTATGAATAACGAATAGACAATATGTTAAATTATGCATAATTTGCTCCACTCGAGTGTCGTATGTTACCGGTGCTTACATAATAGTACGAACTCCATAAGCGAACATGTCCTAAGGAGAATATATATCGAGCTTCACGTAATGGAAATAATATATTATGTGTGATATGACCCCACAAGGGCGATTATAAGATTGATGAGGATATTCTTCCATCAACGATTTGTTACCGATACTTGTATGTGTAGGCCAGCCATGGAAAACATGTCCTTATTAATAAAGAGTTCCATGCGGTGGAAGCAAATTATACATAATATACCCCCGCGAGGGGCGGTCATTAGAGTTTTGGTAATATGTACCCCGGGAGGGTGGTTTGCTACCGGTACTCGTATATGTAGGAAAGGCATTAGAGGCATTTCATAAGGTTCCACCTAGTGGAAACAAATTGTATATAATATGCACCCCGCGAGGGTGATTTGTTACCGGTACTCGTATATGTAGGCAAGGCATTAGAGGCATTTCATAAGATTTCACGTAGTGGAAACAAATTATATATAATATGCACCCCGCGAGGGTGATTTGCCACCGGTACGTGTGTAGGTACGCCATGGGAGGGCATGTCCTGACACGACTTGGGCTTCATGAGATGAAGCTTATTATGAGCTAAGCTATCACTTGCTTCTGCGTGAGTTGCTCATTAGGTTGATGAAATGTCAATCACTTAACTCCATGACAAAATATAATTATAAGTATAACTTTATACGAGAAAAACAACCTCAAAAGCTCTGAATCATTATGTGGTGATTGGATGGTGGTGCTTCATCACAGAGATCACTAACTTCTTAAGCAGTGCTTTAATTTTTTCTTTTTAGCTTTGTGCCCTCAGTAGCTGTAAAATACCTCAGAAACGATTCCGTTATCTTATCACTTTCGTTAATAAAATTAACTGAGCAGGTGCCTTCCCGCAATGATTAATTTTTATTTTAAAATATGCGTTTGCTGAAAGAAAATTATTGTCAGGAACGTGATATATCATAAATTATCATCATACTTCTTTACCTCATTGTTTGTTTCCAGGTTGATAAAGCCTGGACTATGATTATAATTTTCAATTTACATCAGCATATCATTTAAAATAAACGTTGAATGTCTTTCGAACAGAGCCTTCCTTTATCCTAGTTTAGTCACACGACTCACATGAGTATATTTATAACGTGTATTGGTCAGTAAAATGTTAGAACTTTTTATTCATAAGCCTTTTGATATTGATAGCTGGCCATGTTCAGAAAACGGCACATCGACATTACAAATACCTTATTAAGATTGTACATAGTTCACTTACCCCTCGAACAATCTTTTAATAAAAGGGCTACTTTTCTTAAGGCAGCGATGCCGCTTTCGTTATACCAGAAGACGACAAATTCAAACAATTATTACTGCAGCTGCTCGAAGAACAATTATGACTAGATCCACACATATTGCTGCTTTTGCCATTAATGCTAGTCAGTCGGCGGCTGAAATGTCAATATCGACCGATGTCCTTCACTCTAAACTGTAAAATAATTTAATTAAGTATTTTGTAAAACATTTACCAATTTACTTTTACACTTACTTATACGGAAACATTAATTGAGTACCAAGAGAAAACACTCTTAAAATAGTTTTAATTACAAACGACCAAGACGGTCGTAAAGTATTGCAAAATTTACTTTAATGTAGGTACTTTAATTTTTTAAACAAAACCGCACCTTGAAACACCGTCCAGTTTTACTCACGGCTTATTATTATTTTTAAAACAAAGGTGTTGCACAATTTAACATATTTGTTTGAAATATCCCTTATCACAAGGGCTGCAAAAACTATCAAAAAGGATAATAATTTTACTTACGGTTCCTTCACTTTTAATACGTAAAGTACCTATTTGGAATAACACGAACGGCAAAAACCGTTAAATAAAATAGTTTTACTTACAGTTTTATCACTTAATAATAATAAAACCTTTAAAATCTCACAACGATCGCTCAGATTGAGCGCGTGTTGCTTCGACGGGAGTCAGAACGCCAATGAGTTAATATGGCGCTGTCAAAACTTAGGAAAACAAAAATGGCCGCGCTTCTGCCAGGTGTCGCCACTGGACCGGATGTAAGGTGATTAAAAGTACGGAAACTGATGGTAATTCGACGGGAAACGGAAGTGCTATCTCAATATAAAGCTTTCAGTGACGGTCAAGTAGTTTAATGACCCGTTTCTCACGGGGGAGCATATAAGAACTTTAGGGGGGGGTTTAACATTATTATTTTAAGTAAGTATTTAATTGCTAAATTAATAACTTTTAAGACAATTTTACCAGAATAAAAAAATACCATTCAGTCCAGGTATCAGACCGGATACGAACTTCCACTCAGGGCCTGATTTACCACAGGCTAATAAAGATCTAGCGGCTGACACGAGCGGTACTGAGATGAGCTGTGACTTACATAACAATATTAATTTGGTAATTTTGGGAAAATAGGTGCTTGTTTTAAAATCAATTCCTGCGTACGCTCTCACACAAACCTATTAAAGATAGGTAGGTACAACATCATGAAAAAAATTGTGGTTAAAACCTGTCCTAAAGGTTTCAAAATATAGGTTTTTATGCTTTTTTAATTTATACTTTTATATTTTTAGGACTTATTAAGTAGATTGTAAAAATGAGTGTTAGAAAGGAGATTGCTCAGCTTCCATACATGTTTGACCTAAAAACCAATAACCATGAAAAATTGTTTCCTACATTCGAAATTATACATAAATTACCGTAGAAACGAATATTATCGACGGCCACTCCTGAGAACTTCTATAAACCATATACACTGAATGATTTTGAGGTTATGTTTGCAAATAGGCACATAGGTATTAGAATAATAAAAACCAAATAACTTATATAGGAAAATAGGGCAATCAAGCCAAGTACCTACCGATATTATGTATTAGATTCAGGTATATAGAGCATGTAAAATAACAGATATGTGCATGTTTTTAAAAACACGAACAGAAACTGTGTGATGATTGTGAATGAGCCACAGATTAGAGAGAATTTTTAAACTCTCGTTAATCAAAGAAAGCTAAGAGCTGTAGGTTATACAGCCATATCTTCAGCAGCTTCATTATTTTTGTTATGTTTTTATTATAACCATATTTTAGATTTTTAGTGTATCACACCTTATAATGTGTTTATTTAGGTGTTTGGCAAAAAATGTACGGCAATAGACTTTATGATGTCGCCTACCATCTATATTAATTGTCTTAGCACATTTGCATGTAGTAAAAATGATAATAAAGTTGTGGATATTAATACCACCCGTGTAATAAAAAAAAATATATTTTATCAATCTTTACAAAATAGATTTGTTTTGATGTTATATAAACAACCTCGATCAGTCTTTGTGAATGTTACTACACCCATAGCCAATAAAAATGATTCGTATGTTTTCCAAACCGGTAAAAATAGAAGTCCTTTTTTAAAATTAATATATTATTTAAAGGTGGCCGTTAAAATCTAATGACTGTAAAATAAAGTATAAATTACGCCAAGAATTACTGTATATGTCAATATTTTATTTGCATTTAGGCCAATTTGACCAATCTCCTTTGGTTCCTGTTTTTCGTTTACAATTGACAGTTTTATTTATTTTTTATTTTTATAAAAGATTTGAGTGCGATTGACCACAATCGCAATGTTAAGCAACGATGTTGTTTAAGCTGGAGCACGCAAACTCAAATAAAACTTATTAACTCTTGCCTATTAAATGTATGGGGGAATACATACGCAGGAAGGGAGTTCTATTCCTAGCGGTAGGGACGAAAGAAGAATGCGAATCGTGAGGTGCGCAGGGGAGGTATGTCAACCAGGTACGGTTGAAGACCCTGTTCACGTCTTGTGGACCGATGGTAAAAAGGTGCAGGTGGAATAAGTTCGAAAAGTTTTTGTGCACACTCCGAAATGTAACCTGTAGGAAAAACTCAGACACGCAATCAGGTGGCGATGTTCGAGGGTTTGTAGCCGTCTGGTTGTGTTTTTCATTGCCTATGAGTTTTCTAGCACGTCTGTCAAAAGCTTCTGTTCTTCTTATCTTTCAAACAGTCAGCGCCGAACTATGGCTGAGTTCTAAGGCCTGAGGGCCGGTCAGAGAATGGAATCTAATACACCATCGCTTGACCAATAACCTCGGCAACAGTAGACGTGCTGCTAGATAGATTTTCGGAAGAAAAGCACACTTTTAGTAATGGATAAGACGACAGACAATGACGCATTTCTTCCCAATCTCCTGATTTGTACCACCACACCCAACTGGTGCCTTTGGTCAGAGTCAGGCCGGGGCAATAATAATATGGACTTAACCAGACAATGGTCAGAACTACCGAGGAGAGCTGTAACAGACACTTGGTATCGATCTGGTTTTTTCGTTAGCAGAAGGTCCAGACAATTAGCGGTGTGGTTCTCAACATCAGGTACACGAGCTGGGAAAGGTTCATTGACAGAGTCAACCTCTACCAGAATGATCACTGTTATGGTGGACATTAAAATCCCCCGGAAAAACGATTTGAGCAGTCGGATACCTAAGCTGAGCTTCATCGGCCGCCTCACTTAAATGATTGAAGAGCCTAGTTGTCTCCCGGTCTCCGCTATGAGATCTGTATACACCAACATTAACTTTTTTTTCGGTGGTGTTAGGTTACTTAACCTCTCTTCTGTACTAGTAATTTAATTAAACCTGTAAGTGAATGAAAGGGTAGGATAGGACAGGCAGGGAGGCGCATATTCATAGTTAGTCTAGGGCGGTCAGAACTCTTAATCAGGCACTACTTCTGTTATGAAGTCTGGTGATTTAAACTGTTTGGGGAGAAGATATATAGAAGTAGGTATATTTTACCCGCATGTACCCGGGCACCAACATAACACTCATTAATAGCACTTTTCTCTCGATACAACAATCTACTATGATTGACTTTCACAGATTTTGCATGTGCGTCCATCCAGTAATGAAGGAACGTTTTAAGGCCGAGAACAGTCATGACGAAAGGAAGTCAAAACTGCTGGAAATTGTGACGCAACGAGGGACAGTGCAGCTGGCATCCACGCCCTCCCCGAGGTTCGTGAAGACCCATCTGCCGATGTCTCTGCTGCCCCCCACCTTGCTAGACACCGGCAGGGTCGTATACGTGGCAAGAGACCCCAGGGACGTGGTCGTGTCGTTCTACCATCTAAATAAACTTATGAGAACGCAAGGATACGTCGGGGATCTAAAGACATTTTGGAACTTCTTTATTAGAGATTTACGTAAGTTACGGGTAAAGTATTCAGAATATTATAAAAAAAACTAGATCTGTGCACCATTCTGGCACCACCGCCTCATATTCGTTTGATGGTGCGTCCAGATTATACCTATAACATAATTATGGGGATGTTATGACGACCTCCTCGTGGTGGAGTGTAATCTGTATAAGTAATTCTAAACCGTATTTCAAACTACACACACTCAGGTCCTGGGTTCGAATCCCGATAAGGCGCTTAGCAGACGACGGGGCGGGGCGGGCATTTTGTCCGCGAAGCAATAAAGACCGCGTCTGCCCGTCGATGTCTGCGGCTGCCCGCGCCGCGTACACAAAGCACACGACGGGCAGAGGCGGTCAGTTCAGGACGTTCGTTCTAGTGAATAGTCCATACTAAAAAGCGCGTGGCGCGGACTGAGCTAGCCGCCCCGCGCCGCCGTCTGCGTTACTGCATATAAACTGGTTTGTATAATCCACCGGCCGCCGGGCACCTGCGGCGCGGTCTTTTTGCCCTCTGTGTGCGTTTGAAGTATAGGATTCACTTTGTGCTATTATTCGCGGCGAAATTGACCGGCCCGTCCCGCCCCGTCGCCGTCGTCTGCAAAGCGCCTAAGGGGGCATTTGTACCCAAGTAATGGGTGTTCATATATTTCTACCAAAAGATCATGTAGCTATCATATGTATTTCTATCCGTTGGCCTATCATCGTATACCATAACACAAAGATGACTTAGTGGATTAAAATAATCAGTATTTTTTTAATCTTTTTTTAGATCATTGGACGCCTTATTTTGAACACCTGAAGGAAGCTTGGGAGAAACGACATCACCCTCGGTTGCTCTTCTTGTTTTACGAAGAACTTGCAAAGGTATTTTTAAGAAACGTTAATATCTATTGATGAATGCTATTGAATGTGTTAATGAACTAAACATGCATTCCTGGCAGGATTTACCGGCAGCAATTCGTCGGGTCGCTAAATTTCTAGGCAAAGAATATAGCGCCGAGGAGATCGCTGGATTATGCGACCATCTCAGCATAGATAATTTCAAGAACAACAGATCTGTAAACCAAGACGACATGAAGGACCTCGGCATTTCAGTGAGTGGAGAAAATTCTTTCATCAGAAAAGGTAAATTTGAGAAAACTAAAACATCGTTTTTTTGTTATCAGTTAATAATAAATTCTATATTAAATTTAATTCAACTTTGCAGGTAAAGCAGGAGGATGGCGCGACCACTTTGATGAAGAAATGACCCTTCAGGCCGAACAGTGGATGGCCGATAACCTACGTGATACGGATTTGCGCTTCCCACACTTGAACAACGAATTAAAATAATGGATCGCCAATAAAAAGAATTTAAAGAGTGTGATAATCATTTATTTGAATAAAATGCTATATTTTAGTATTTCTTTGTAACACCATGATATTTAAGTTTACATAGACATATCAAGCTAATAAGAATCGAGTAAACAATTTCCTTCCAAAAAAATTTCGTTTCATTTCGTCTTAGTCAATAATAATAATTATAATAATAATAAAAAAATAATTTCGAACAGTTCGTAAATAAAACAATGTCTCAGTCCTTCCTCACAGTTTTTATTAAATAATACGGTTATACAAAGAAAATAAATTAGAAGCCAGATTTTTAAATCAATCGTTCGTTGGTAATATAAAAATTCTAAAACAGACTTATAATCAGGATAATGGATAATAACCGCACAGGGGCGGCGCGCCGGGCCCCGCCCTCAGACCGGGTCCGACGCTCCGTCCACGCATACAACCGGCAACGTACAAGTCTATAAAAAGCGACTCTATAATATAAAAGTGGGAGGAGACTCCCGCACCTAACGACTCGCCGCCGCCACGAGCGGCTTTAAAACTATCATACACTTATAGAAAATCACAAAATTCAAGCGGAAATTATAGGAATCTCGGTGGCCGCCGCCTACGCGATGACGTCGGGCAGCAGCGCGTTGTCGGCGGCGGGCGGCGACGGCGGCGGCTTGCTCAGCTCCGCGCCGTTCGTCAGGCCGTTCTGGGTTTCTTCCTTCTTCACAGGATCTACCTTCTTCGTCACTTTCACTGGGACGCTCTTCGCACCCGGCGCCGTCTGTCGGTGGGACAATGTTTACTCTTAAATAGCGTTCCGAACGTCACAAATAAGTATAAAAATACAGTTGTAGACAGTTAATGTAACTTTCCTTTCTAAAAAGAAAGTTTACTTCAGTTGTCATTAGAAAGGAAGAAAAAGCTTAAACAAAGATTAATTGTGTCTGCTTTTATTGTTTACAAGAGTAGACAAAACTAGAGAGAAGGGTATAATGAGAAATAATTGCCTTACTAAATAAAACGAGCCCTCAATAACAAAATATACTGCATAACACTGCCATCTAAAATTAAGTCATCCGAAAAAAAATAAGTTGCATTTGAGTTACAGGCTACGCATACTCGACAAAGCTTGCTTGCCAGTGGCAATTAAATGATACCGAATTAATAAGTAAATATGCCACCTTATGCAGTACTTCAGTGTTAAAACAATGGAGGCTAAATACAATACATCAACATGCTTCTTATAAGTAAGCAAAATCAAATCTAGTTTGCATTTGCATAATGAGTAACAGGTTAAATTCAACTTTGTTACTGATTCATATAAGGGCGCCATTCGCCTAACGGAAAACGCTAACGCTTACGATTTCATTTTGTTACTTCTAGCCGCCTGAGGTTTTCAAATGCCTCGCGCTCTTTTTTTTCTTCTTTTGCATTGGTAATAACAATATTTAAAAAAATGAGCGTGAGGTATTTCAAAACCTTCGGCGGTCAGAAAAATAAAATCGTAAGCGTTAGCGTTTTCCAAAGCATTTCCGTTAGGCGAATGGCCCCAAGGTCTTTACTATTTTCAGTTTGCACTCTAGAAGGTTTCATTATCACAGTATATTGCTAGCATTTTACATGACCATTCACATTTGATTTTGTTTATTTGACATCAGTTTAATGAAAAGAACTAATTGCTATAAAATTCACAAAGGCTCATACTTGAATTCCCCTCAATAAAATACTAAATGATCCTCAAAAAATAACAACTGATAACCTAGCCTTACCTTTAGGTTACCAGTTGTATTATTTTGATAAGGATCATTAAAATATTTTCCATTTACAAATAATAAATAGCTATAGACATGTCAAACTTACACCTTTTAAGAGGTGTGAATAAGATTATATAGATTATAGAAGATTATACTATTATGACATGCGCAGACGAAGGACTTTTGTCTTCCGCCGAGAGCTTGTGATGGACTCAACGCACACGATGAGCGAACATAATATGTCGGCCGAAAATTTTGAAAATATACTCTAGATTACATTGTGTTTAAAAACATGAAGTTTAAGATAAAGAGAAGATCTTTTAAAAGAGAAAGCCAAGTCCATTTTTTTAAATCGTATCGAGCAGGCAACGCGGACTAAAGTTCGCTGTGTGCGCAACGATATTAAATACCCTAGACGTACATACAACAACACCAACAAAATCGTGGGCGAAACCTGTCCAAAAGGAACATTGGACGATCCGTAAGATGATCGCGTCGTCAAAAACAATCAAATGAGACATTATTTAAACATTGCAAGTCATCTTTATTACATACTGAATAAGGTCTTCATTAAAACACATGCGTCAGAGTTATGACAGTTCGAAACGCAAGCTCGTAAAATTTTACGACTTATTGCTATATGCGGAAAAACATAGACCTTATTTCTTTGACTCTACGCGCAATTCTGAATGCGCTGTTAGCAATACAGCAGGTACGTGAAACAAATCGGAATGGAACATTTAAATATTCGTTATATTAAGTTATTCGTCCAACTGAGGTTTGTTACATTGAGGTTAGGATTGTCTAAAATTTGTTATAAAGAGGTACAAAAATTGTTTCCTATCGTGACATGAATCACGTAATATGGGATTAAGGGCCATATATTGATGGAAACCTTATAGAGGTTTTTGGTTGACAAAATTCGTTAGTTACGAGATATTTACACTTTTTTGATAGTTGAAAATGTGTTATAAAGAGGTTGTTCGCAATGTAAAGGTATATTTTACATTGAATTTTGAAAGTCGTGTACGTTACAAGATGCAGTTGTAAGCGATCTTTTTTTTTTGATGAGTAACATCTTTCCTCCCGCTTTCCTGCAATTTGTGGGAGTGAATTCGTGAAATGGGATGGAAGTGTGTAACAGGAAGTCGCGAAAGCTTTGATTTGATTTTAGAACATAATGTTCAAATGGCTTATTATTTTGTAGTAGGTTTTATTTCTTTTTTTACTAATAAAAGGTGAGGTTTCAAATGTTACACATCATACGCGACTACTGTAAGGCTCGCTCTTTCTTTTTATAGATAGGTCCGACAAAGGACTCCGCCCTACCTAATGTTAAGTGTAGGTAAGTCCAGACGCGAAGATAGCTGATACAGCAGTTCTACCTGCCACACCAGCCATCCTCACCCTGCCTCGCCTCTTTTAAACGATCTATTTCGGCAGACAAAAAGTCCTTCGTCTACGCAGGCGAGAAAAGAGTATAGAGGTATTGTAAGGTCGCTTACCTTAGAAGCGGCGGTCCTGGGCGGCGCCGCTTTGGCCGTGATGCGCTTGTTGGCGAGGTCCTTAGTTTGTTTGTCGAGCGGGCGTGCCGGGGCCGCGCGCGGAGCCGGCCGGGGGGCCGCGGTCCTAAGGAATAACGTTACAATTAATAACTATACATTTTCAAAAATATATACTTATTTGTTCTCACAACATAGAATAACATAATACAGAAAAGTAAGGTGTACAGCAAATTAACAATACGAGTACTTATAACGCCATGTTACAGCTTTTGCGCTAATAGAACCTGTATGACAGATAACCAGCCTCTCCGACTTTAGATCAGGTAGACAATAGTACCTTTTACTAATCTAACAGAAATTTTTACTTCTTAAATTATTACGGAACGGATAAGGGAGAATATGATCAAAATTTTATCATACGAAATAGCAAACATAAAACTTATCATTTTTACTTGAGAATTATGAAACAGTAAAACAGAACACATGGCATTTCTACTTGGGAATAGGGATGATAGCTGACTAACTTTTTTTTCATCATCTACTACTAGGTATTGGAAAAGTATTTTTTCTTTTTCCACGTAGTCAAAACATTACAGAGATCTCTGACGATTTGAAATATCGCAAAACGTCACGACTTGGTACAATTTTTATTTATAAGTGACGTCACAAGCCTAAACTTTGACGCACTTTATCCTTTAGTACGAGAGCCCACGACCAAAATTTTTGTCTCATAGCAATACGGCCAAAACCGCATCAAATCGATAGATACGATTATCTTGAACTCGAAAATACCAATATCAGACATTTTCCGCGTAGCGTTTGATCTGACCGAATTTTCAAAATTGTCAAAGAATTTTACCGAACTGCATCATAGCATTATGTCTGATATGCAGACTGTAGTTGAATGATAGTTCTGAGATACCGGAAACATATTTTTCAGACGTTAGTGGTGTAGCGCAAACCCGTAAAATCACTTAAAAAAATTAAAAATGAGACAAAAAAATGTCTCATAGCAATACATCTAAAAATCTTTTTTATTAGTATATTATGTAAGTATTTGATGCGAACAAAACAATTTTCAGACGGAAATGTGAACGCATTAAATTTTGAGACCGTTTTGAAAATGTTAACAAATTTTACCGATCGGTATCATAGCAATATGTCTGAAAATTGTTGGACATGATAAAATAAGTTGTCCACATGTGCAAAAAATTTATATCAGACAAATTAAGTGTAGCACCTTCTCTATCAGACAACTTTTCGATACTCAGATATCATTTAAAAATCGTATTGAGGCATCTTGAATTTTCTGTTACAAACCAATGAATACGTTGCGACCCTGAATTTATTAGATGATAATTAACAAAGAATTTACCCGAAACCAACGTTTGGAGCAGCTGGCGAGTGCGCTGTAATAAGTGTATAGTAAGAAAGGGGCAGGAGCGTAACAAGCGCTGAGGCTGTTGAAATTAAATACTGATTGATTTGATAGTTTTGGTTTTATTTAAAGCACACTTGAGTAACTTTTACAAAAGAAATAAGTAATGACATCTGTCATCTGTCAAAGTACATATAATAGACAAGGGAGATTCTTGAATATCTATGAAGGCTGTAAATTTAAAAAAACATTTAACAGAGGCGTCGGCCAGGCGACTCCGAAACGTTATTTTCGTTTTTGGGAGTATATGCTACACTTAAAGTGTCTGAAAACAGGTTTTTGGTAATCATGGCAGCAATACGAAAAGTTGAAAAAAAAATTATCCGTATTGCTATGATACAGGTCGGCTAAATTTGTTGACATTTTCAAAATGCGCTCAGGCCAAGAAGCTTAAATACAACACTGGAGATTGCATGTAGAACTTCTGTATGAAGACGAGTTCATTAACCCCATGATATGTTTTTTATCTCTCTCACACACTATCTAAAATTACCATGTTAAATACAAGAAATTCCAATCACAAAGTGAAAATAAACAGAACTATGCAAGATATCAATCAGTTTTACAATCTCCAGAAGTCCTACTCTTGTATTACTATTATAAGATGAGTGTGACAAATTCTAACCAACTACTTTGAAATCAATATTTAAAACTGAATAATAAATACGCCCTTTATTTCCCTGTTTGCTGGTTGCTACCATTTTGGTATAATAGCAACACTAATTAAAAAATCAACTGAAGAATATCTCCGATCTGTCAAAAAAAATCTACCGCTTCGAATGTTTAGATTATTATTAAAAAGTGTTAAATTGTTCAATTTGCTATTTATAATATGTATGGTGTTGTGCGAGATTGCAGAAGTGTTTGGGAACCAAATTCCAGCACTAAATTTCACAGGTAAGTCTATTACATTACGCCAATACCGAAATAAACATATTCCTATATTTTTATGTTGTAATCATAATAAAACGTTAGTATTTATAAATCATAGTGTCCTGAGGCTATAAATTAACGTTATTCTTGTTTTATTCACTACATTTCGTACCATATTCAGCAGTTTATTAAATTAAAATAATATAAATTTTGGTTTTGTAGGGTAACCATTATCACTACACTTGAGATATTTTGAGAAAGTTAAAATACATAAGTATTATTGTAAATATTAATTACAAAGTTCAAAATATGAAAATAAGTTTATAATAAATACTGTAGTAGATCATGTTGATTAGATGTAGAAAACCTATTTAATAACAGCTATCTAGCAGCGGTCTTATACATTTGTTTATGTTTCAGCTTCCCGAAAGATGTCATTTAAAGAAATTCTTGGTTGTCCATTATACTGTCACAAACGCTATCGAAACGGAACCGCGAATGTGCTAGAGATCGAATTTGCCAGAGCACCGCGGGTCGCAATAGAAGTCGAGTAAGGCGGCTCATTCTAGAATGAGCCTTATGCAGTGCGTCGTAAAGGAGAAAGTGCAACGATATCTGCACTTGTTTACAAGTTATGCGTGTTACTTGCGTAGGTATAAGTAGGTATTTCGTACTCGCGGGTGCTAGGTAATTCTCAATTTAACAGGTACTTTCTAGAACTTCGACTTTCGACGACCTCCGTGGTCGAGTGGTTTGTACGCCGGGTTTTATGGTGTCGCCGACTCGAGAGGTCCCGGGTTCAAATCCCGATGGGGACAGATGTTTGTGTGATGAATACGAGCATTTGTACTCCAGTCATGGATGTTTAATATGTATTTCTATAAAAAAAAATATACTTATATATATACAGTTTATGTATTCTATCCGTTACCCTAGTATCCCATAACACAAGCCTTATAGTGCTTACTTTGGCTAGGCTAATTGGTGTGAGTGTTGGAAATATTTATTTATTTATTTACTTTCTAGAATGCATCGATCGGCGTATATAAGGGCGATTGGCGCCGCGCAGAGACAGTTGAGTTTCAACAGCGATTTCGGAGCGAATCCAAAGGCGATCAAAGTGCAACAAAAGTGTTCAAGTGAGATCGTTTAGAGACTTGTATAGTGAAATACAGTGTTTAGTGAGTGTTTTGTATTGTGTGTTAATTGTGTGAACTGTGTGGTGAATAAAGAACTGTCAATCGTGAACTGGCATATAATTTCGAACCGTATCCCAACACCTAACAATACCATTAAAAGGTCAATTTTATTTATCAGCCAAAATATGTAGCTTAGAGTTTCTAGTCCGTTCTTAGTAAAAGGCATTTCTGGCGATTTTAAAAAGGGTTTGCATATTCTTTTAATTTTTTTATAAACGTTTTTGACATTGCATAATATAAGACGCATCTAATATGAATAAAATGATTTTTGTACTTGTGAATTTTATTACTATTAAATAATGTGTTCCCAAGTTCCTATCAACTCCAACGCTTTGATTTATAAATTGTTTAAAGACGATACCAGTAAGTATGTATCCTAAACGTATATTCCAACATGGTCACCCTTAGAAAGAGATAACAAACATATGTGACGTCATTCAAGGCCATATTTTTTCACTTCAAGGTATTGTTTGCACTGCAATCTCCAGTGTTGTATATAAGCTTCTTGGCTCAGGCTATATGCTACGCGCAAAATGTCTGAAAACAAACTTTTTCGTAATACAATTATAAAATCTATGTACATTTTCACTATCAGACGTATTGCTATAACACCGACTGTCTTTTTTTTTTGACACAGCAGAAATGGCCTCCCACGCAGTTGCTACACTTTCGACCGTTACTACACACCTAGTCGGTCGATTTAGAGGGTTTTTACCGTATTGCTATGAGACATGGTTTTGGTCGTGGGCTCTCGTACTACTTGTAATGTTTTGGGTGATTAAGGAAAAATAAATGTCCATAATTTTTTGATAATCTAAGTGACGGACTAAATAGGATTTCGTTAGCTTTACCGCGTCATCGTCCCTATTACGAAACAGTACTTGACAATTTTATTTGTGAATAATGTCCACCAGATTATAAATACAGACTTCTAATAAGAATCTACAGACAACACACTTTTTTTTCTTTGCTCGCTTTACAGACTATTCCATAGTAATTCCATTTCAAGGTGTAAATCACGAAATTACAGCTATAATGGTGTCGATTCTGGCCTAATTCTCTAAACTTAAAACTAAATTTAACATCAGTCTCTCCTTTTCATTCTGTATAGAGAATGACAAGGATATACTGCTGTCAAATTTAAGTTAAGGTTTAGAGAATCATGCTAGAATCGACACCAATATGTAATTAAATAAATATGAATTGCCGAAACTTAGGTACGCACATAGCTCCCGAACGACTACACCAAATTTTTTTTTGTCATTCATGAAAAATAGCTTGCCATACAAGCCATACAATAAAATTTAAAAGAAACTGTCTATTTTGTTTAATAGTTAAATTTCGCTGTATTTTGCGTAGTTTGAAGTTAGCCAAATTTCTAATAATCATGACTGATAACAGTGGACTGTAAACCATGGAATTTACTAAACACACCTTCACAAACGGCTCTTTTTCCCACAGTTCGTGGTGCGCGTCTGTCTAAATCTACAATAACAAAGATCGTGGGAAGCAATCGCAAGACCATTATACATTCCGGCAAATTTCTTGAATAACTACCATAGAAAAGGAAGCCCGCGCAGTAGCAATTTTTACGTCAAAAAACGTCTACTGTAAAACCACAGACCGACACACACGGTTCAAGAATTTTGCCGCGACCTATATCAGCATGGAGGTTAGAGATAAGGAGAACGATCGCTGTAGAAAATATTGTGTCCCAGAAATATGGGCAAAATAAGTGGGGGGGCTGCGATCGCTAAGTTATCTCAATAAAAGCAGGCTTATTTAAAACGACTAATGCCGCGAAGAAATTTGTATAATATTCAACTAACTTCATCTACTTTTACTCATAAACAGCTAACTTCACAGATACTACTTACCGACGGCAGCGCGGCTGGTGGCTGAAGAATTAACTATAAATTCTACAAATTTTCAGGGTTAGGCGGGCTAACGCTTTAGTACCGAGCGATCGTTCTCCTTCTCTCTAACCTCCATGTATATCACTTTCTCAAAATATATTAGTAGGAAGTACTCACTTAGTAGTAGCAGACGCGGGTGCTGCGGCGGGCGCGCGGGGCGTGGGGCGCGGTGCGGCGGGCGCTGGGCGGGCGGCGAGCGCGGGGCGGGCGGCGGCGGGCGCAGGGCGGGCGGCGGCGGGCCGGCTCAAGGGCTTCACGTCGCCGTTAGCCAGCGGCTTCTTCTCTGGTGCTTTCGGTTTAAGCTCGGTCGGCTTCGGCCGCGCGGGGACGGGGCGGGATGCTGGCGCAGCGGCCTTTACCGCAGGCCTGGTGGTAGTCTTAGGCGCGGCTGCGGACGTGGGGCGCGATGCGGGAGCTCTGGGCGCGGGCCGTGCTGCCGGCGCCTTTGCGGCGGCGGGCGCAACGCGCGATATCGGCGCGGGCTCCTTGACGGGCGCGGGAGACGATTTAGCCGCGGGGCGCGGACTCGCCGCCGCCGGCTTGGCCGCCGACGGGCGAGCGGGCGCCGTTGCTTTCGGCGCGGCCGGTTTCGACGCGGACACCGGCGTCCGGGCCGGGGCAGAGGGCCGCGCAGGCGCAGTCGTCGCGGTCGCGGGTTTCTTTGTCGCCGAGGCGGGACGAGGACTCGCGGCTGCGCTAGTCCTTGCCGGAGTCTTGGGAGCGGGTTTCGCGGTCGGCGTCGTTGGCGACTTTTTAGCGATCGTCTTCTTCGCAGCGACAGCGGTGACGGCTGCGGCGGCCGTGGCGGCAGCAGCGGCGGCGACAATCGGCGCGACGTCGGCAGCGATGAGTGTGTCGCTGACCGGCGGCGGTACAGCGGCTGGCGTGGGCCCGTCCTCGGGGCGAATCTCGCTGGTGACTGGTAGGCAGATCTCTTGTGCGCGCGACTCGGGGATCCCTATGTCTATGTCGGTGACGAGGTCGGAGGGCGGCACGTCGGGCACGATGTCGGGCGCGGGCCCGGCGCTGGCCTCGTCTGCGAATGCCTCCTGCGCCAGTTCAGGCGACAGTCTCTCTTGCAGGGCGGCGTCTGCTGGGGACTCCACTCGCGCAGCGGCGAGCGGGGAAATGGTCTCCGACCGCGCAACGGGCTCAACTTCAACGGGTTCCTCGCACGGGGACGGCGCCTCCCTCTGTATCGAAGACTCGACGGGGAGGGAGCACTCGACCGGGGCGGGAGATGGCACCGGCGGGGGGGACTGTGCTGGGCGGGGGGAGGGCGGGACCGGCGACTCTCTAGGGGGTGTAGGGGAGGGCGGGGCTGGCGATTCTCTCGGCAGGGGCACATCCACGGGGAGGGGCGACGCCGCGAAGGGTTCATCGGCTGCAGACGTATGAAGGCGCTGTTCCTCGATTGGGAGAGGTGATTGAGATATCGCAGGCGACGAAGCGGGGTCCACTGCCTCCGCGGGCGGTTCGATTGTTTGTGCTGGTTCAGGTGACTGTGCGATTCGAGGAGGTTCCGGAGAGAGCGCGACGGTTTCAGTAGGTAAGGGAGACTCAGCCGGTAAGGGAGACTCGGCGGGTAAGGGCGAATTCGCCACCAGGGGAGACTCTGTCGGTAAGAGAGACTCCGTTACCAGAGGAGACTGGGTCGGTAGAATAGGTTCTTCCGGTAATGGCGACTTTTCCGGAGCCGGAGATTCCACTGGTAACGGCGACTGTGGGGGAACCGGCGACTCAGCAGGCGCTGGAGATTTGGATGGCGGTTCCCATAGTAAAGGTGATTTAGCAGGCACAGGAGATTCTGCAGGCGAAACAGATTCGACGTGAGCCGGCGATTCGACAGGAAGACGACTCTCGTCAGGTAACGGCGAGTGAGAAGGAAGAGGCGATTCTGTAGGCATCGGCGACTCACTTGGTCTATCACAAATTTTGTCGATTTCCGATTCGGATGCTAAATCATCGGCGTTTATTTTAATATCTGGTGTTTCGTGAAGCAAATCTTGCTGTGGAATGTGATCGTCGTCCATGTTTGATTTTTGCTCAGAACATTGGTGAACATCTACTTCGACGCTGTTTTCGACGTTATGTGTAACTTCGGGTGATATTACTTCTGCGAGCCTATCCTCTCCAGGTAATGGTGATGCTGGCAATCGCTCACAGAAAGAATCAATTGTGTTATCTTTCAATAATTCTGACTCCGGAATGATATCATCTTTTTCTTCATCAAAGATTTCTGGGTTTTGATCTTCTTCTGCTTTGGATAGGAAATGTGACTGTTCTTCTATACATGGTGAATCATCATTTCTATTTTCCATGTCTATATCTTGTGAAATTTCTTCCTGAGGTGTGGAAATCCTGGCATCCTTTTCACTTTCTGTTTGATCTAATAAATCTTCTGTTGTGAAACCTAACTCTGAGCTCTTGCCATCTGGTATTTCAGGTATTTGCTCAAATAATAATTTGTGAGATTCAGGTGTATCTGTATGAGCTACAGCATCATGTGGTAAATTATTAGATTCAAATTCATTATTAGAATAACCTTGCCTATTAACGCTGTTAACATTGTAATCCATGAAATTATCACCCTGTCCAAAGTCAAGAGGGGCATTATTGATCAAAATATCTTTTCTTTCATCAAACCTCATGATATCATTGTTTGGTTCTGGTGCTTCATTATCCATTCCTAGTAGATCTGTGTGTTGTTCTGGGCTAATATTTTCCTTATCATTTTCTGTGAAGTTTTGACAGACACCGTTTGTTTGCATGTCCTCCTCATCATCACTGTCTGGTAAGTCTTGAACAGCATTGAGGTCCACATGTGATTCATTTTTGGAAATTCTTTCACAAGTATCATCATCTTTTTCTTGATAAAAACTCATGCTCATGGGATCTCTTTCTTTATTTTTTAGCCTTTCAAGAAGTTCATCATTGTCTTCTGTAGCAAAGGGATTTGTTTCAGTGTGTGCCTGGAATACCTGTAATGGTTGGTAAATGATAAATGGTTTAAAATTAATTATAATTTTGTGTTGTATTTTAAAATAAGATGAAGTTCATGATTAATAAAATATTGAAAACTATTTACTTCTAGTAAATGCCCACATTTAATGCATGCAGTCAGCTGACTAATCACTTGGACTGTGGTCAACTTACTTGGCTTGTTAAGTAACATGTTATGCCATCCAAATATTTTTCTGTCTCATAAAGTTGTAGGTGTAATTGTACATAGGTCCAAATATTGTTTAAGAATATAACTTGATAACTTATTAAATGTATTATACACTATAATGAGGATACGTAACGCTTTTAGTCGAGAATACAGATTTATAGAGTTAAGGATTCCATAACTTTTGTACATTACTAAATGAATGAATTGCAAATTACTAAACGAATTTTCAGCTGGCAGCGCGGTGGCTGTGACGTCACAGAGCTCTAGCGTTCGGGCGCAAGCGTGCGTGGAGACACTACTGAAGTTCGACCGGAGTGAACCACAAACGAGCTCTGTGACGTCACACGTTTCGGCCGCCGGTGAATATTGACTACCATAAAATTAGTTATAAATTCGCAACTAATGAACCAATTTCGATGATTTAAAAAATATATTAATTGAAAAGCTTATTAGATCACTATATTGTTGATTTTGAGTTAACTTGCTGACCTAGTAATGACCCTCATTGTTATAGTGAATTGTAAATAAATGAGTTATTTGAGTGTATTTTTTTATTGGCAATAATGAAATTAAATAAATAATCACCTGTATATTACAGAAGTCTGTGGTGTCTTTTTGTATCCTTTCAAAGTCCTGTATTAAACCAGTGTCTGTTGCCTTCTCAGGTTCCTTGCCCACACTGAATCCAAAGCCTAGACTGTCCATATTGTTGTACTTATTGTTCCCATTTAACTGTTCTTTTCCATCTTCTAATGATACATTCTGAAAAAAATGTATATGGATACAAGTGAGTTTAATACATTTGAAAATGATTCATGGCATGACTTGGTTTTGTAAATTTGAAATCTTGTCTACCTACCTAATTATATCTATAACATTTATTTTAACTGGATTACAGCAGTTGTGCCTTTTTTTTTGTTGTATATTGATAATTTGGATATCAGCTTTGGTTTGAGCCAGTAGCATATGCAAAATATTAATTACATCTTGTATCTACAACTAGGTTAGTGTACTGCCTATTTTGGCCAGACCTAATCAATGACTTGAATACGTAGCTTAAAAATAGAAGAAACTGAAATTGTCTCTTATCTCAAGAATTTTGTCCCTTCCTTACTATTTAAAAAATAATGTACTAAAATTGAATATGCTTAAATACTGAAAGTTATTCCTTGTAATATAGATATTTAAATGTAATGCTTTGATAAGTAAAACTATAATTATGGAATAATGATCAGCTTTACAGAAATACAAAAGAAAAATATTAAAATTATCAACAAAATCATAATGAATTAAAATAGCTGGTGCAGAAACATATCGAACCCTTACCGCCAAATTATCGTAAGCGACACTAGCCAAATTATCGTAAGCGACACTTTTGTCGAAATGCGTTTTTTGTGGAAACTAATATTTTAAACCGTAACGGACCCATCTCTGTTGATATTTCCCTCTATTCTTCCCTCTATTATATTATAACGGTGTTCTTTTGGAGGGAAATATCAACAGAGATGGGTCCGTTACGGTTTAAAATATTAGATTCCACAAAAAACGCATTTCGACAAAAGTGTCGGTTACAATAATTTGGCGAGTGTCGCTTACGATAATTTGGCGGTAAGGGCTCGATATATAATTCGCTATTGGTAAAAGAAATGTCAATTATTATTATTCTGTATCAATTATAATTACACAGAAATATTAAATTAATTTTTATAGTCAAAAATTACTTACATGATGGCCATTAAGATGATCACAATTGTCCAAATCTAATAATTCTGCCGGCCTCACAACTGCTCCAGTCTCAAACTGTGCCACATCTGGAAGTTCAATGTCGTCCATTGGCAGAGGCTTACGTGGGGACTCTGCCAGCAACACATCATTTCCGGCAACAGAGCCCGGCACAAACACGGGTGCGTCTGGGTTCAACGGTGAGCTGTTCATGTCTACAGAACTAGTTTCCCAGGCTGACTGTAATAGGAATGAAGGTTAATATAAATTAAACTGTTATATGTCATGTAAGCCTGCAAGAATAGAAAGCAGAATCATGTGTGAAGTCCTAGAACATCACTATTTCTCAATTTAATTTTGCTATTGTATTTTTTTCATAAGGTCTGAGTTGTAAACATTTATATCTTTATAGCGTCAACATAACATAATTATGTTCAATTACAAACTAACAGATGTTGGGACAATTTAATTTAAACTAAACACTGATCCTAATAATTTAAATAAAAGCACAATTTAATATACTAAAGAATATTAAAAAGATAAAATGAAAAGAGGAAGGTAATACACTTAGTGAATTTGTCATATGATAAGACACCTTAAATTTTTAGAAATGAAATTTATCATTACAGTATAATCTGTACATATATATCAGAAAATTCCTTTGTTTTATTGCATAAATACATACATTTCTACGAATTTACTATCATTATGATTTTACACATATAATAAATGATTAAGATAAGCTAATTTTACTGTTATTTGTTCATAACATAATACCTGTTAAAATCAAATACTTCTTTAAGCTATGAAAATGACAATCATGTTAATATTATGTAAATATCAATAAGTGGTACTGCACATCAATATTAGAAGCTTGTATAATATAAATTCACACATGTATTTCATATATATGAAAGTGGAATGGCCTCCCTTGTCATGCATTTGTCGGTGTTCAAGAGTATGAATCATTAAATTTGAAGGTAACTCAACAGTACCTACTGAGAAATAAAGCTACTGCTATAACTTGGCCTGAATATGCAATGTTGTTGTTTCTATATATTAAGTGGGATGTTTTTGTAAACTCACATTATCCTGGCAAGGTGTTTCGGACCGTGGCGGTTCTTCGGGCTCTTGCTCTTCACTGGGGTTCTGCTCGTCACGTTCGCCTTCGCCTTTGAAATAGTTCCACTCGTCTTCTGATTCCTCGCCACTCTCAGCTACATTATCCAGCAGAGCACCATCGACGTGGCCCTCCTCCACTGCACAAACATCACACTTTTTTTTATAAACTTTGAACACGTTTTCCGTTGCCGATACACCTGGCTATCACGCAACCTCCACCCCTTCTCTCGAATGCTCGCTAATATCAACAGGTGACACACCCTAAAGAAAGCTCAGCGCGATTAAAGGTTCGTAAGTTATGAAAAATGGGACGTGTGACAGTTTTTTAAGCACAATAAACGTTACGTCAGGCGACCGACGGAGAGTTAACGATAATAATTACCGGTCGTGAATTCAAATCCGCGAGATATTCGCGGACGCCATTTCGAGGACAGGCTGAGAAGACACGCCCGTTACGAGGCATACGAAATTCGAGTATTTAAGTGGACGAAACTTGCGGTATTCCCGACTTGGGGGATGCGCCTTTAGACGAACCGATCTATTTCCAGAACACCGCTCCGCATGAATCAACACAGAAATAACCTTTCACAAACTATTAGGAATGTGAAATTATTCAACAACATTCGCAAAAAATCACGTACCGTAAACGGTAATTTCACTACACAGATTATTATCTCCACTGGCGGCGTAATATTCGATCCGTAATTAAGTAGACAAAAGACCCGGTTACAATAATAAAACGTTAGCAGAGACAGCACAGTCTGCACGGGCGTTCAATGAGCGACTGCGGGCGGGCGAGGGACGGGGACGGGACGAACCAACGAGGCAACACGACACGAACGGGCCGCGGGGCGCGCTGCATGCACCCGACCTAGGGATGCCAGCCAAATTTTGTGTATCTTTTAAACACTCAAAGCAGCCATGGCAATATTTTTGCTTAATTTTTTGTCAATCAGAGAAATTAAAAAAATGGTCAGAATTGAATGAACACCACCTGACGCTCTAGTGTTACTAAAACCGTTACTTATCAATATCAGCCATTGATAACTTAATGTAAAAATAATTAAAACAAAAAACTATCTGTCTGATACAACATGCAGATTTTTACGAAATGGCCCAAGTATTATGAGTTCAATAATGTTTTTACTACCCGAGTTCGATTCCCTCAGTAATCAATGTAAAGAACTAGGTATTAGATAATTTATTCTAGGTCTGGGTGTTTGTGGTACCTAACTCAGTTGTGTTTGATTCCCATTTTAGCACAAACTACTACTGCAGACCCTTTTTGTTTTAATCTAAGACTGCAGATGATAGCATCAAATATTATATGTTAATTACAATACCTATTTAAAGTTTTCTCATTTTTTTTCGATAAGTACGGCTTTAAATTTTAACGTGAAGAGTATAGTATGAGAGTAGTATGTAGATTTTAACGTATATTAAAAGTTACCATCAGGGACCTGGTTATCATCATATTTAAGACTAGCGGCCGTCCTCGACTTCGTTAATTTAGTTTTTTGAGAATTCTACAGGAACCCTACATTTTTTCGGGTTAAAGTATCCTATGTCTTACTTAATCCAGGTCATAAACTTTATTATGCGTACCAAGTTTCATCCAAATCGATTCAGTAGTTTTGCGTGATTGAGAAAATAACAAACTTTCAATTTTATAATATTAGTAGGATTTGTACTAATAATTGTACTAACATAATCATTAATAGCGTGCTCCTAGTGGGAAAAACAGTCATTATGCAATTTCAGGATCGTATCTTTAAATCTGTCAACTATACATACACATAGATACCTTACCGTACCTTACTAAACTATTAAGTACTAAATACATTTATGATTAGTTTTATTTGTATTGGAGAGCAAACTAAATCGCAATTTGATTGAATTGAACTCCTTTCACTGAGCTCACACGCAACGGAACGTTAACGACAAAAAAACAAGTAAGAAATAAATAGAAAAGATTTTCAAATACAATAAGGTAAGCCGTTGGTATCTATTGTGATTATGATATTTTGTAAATAAAGAAATAAGTAGAGATAAGATCGATATTCCATCATCGATCAGACACATTACAATCACAATGCACTCAATCATTATGTCTGAGTTAAGCCAGAAATTAGTAAGCCCACATGTGGGCGAGTGAGTAGGTATAACAAAACAACAATAAATAATGCGACGGGCAATTTTTACATTTCCTATTACTGTTAATTTACATTACAGAAAGTGCTCAAAAGTAGAACAGCGACATATTCAGTTAATGTTATGTTAATAAAACATTTAAAGAGCTCATTTACTGTAGGGATATATGATACCCCCAACATGAGCGGTCGCTCGATCATTCGCTTAGTCTCAATCCGATACTGGTGCACATCAGAATACACCCGTCCTCTAGCACACTATGCAGTAGTTTTAACTAAGGCAGCGCTGCATAAACCCTATCTCAGGGGATGATCGCATCGAATGAAGCCTGTAAAGCCTTCATGGCCATAGGCGTACCCCCACGGGTGTGTTTTAGCCTGTCATAACCCTGCTTAATGCATATACCGGATCTTAATCCGGTATCCATGAGAATTTCAAAGCCGCTCTGCTTGTGAGGAAATAAAATAAATAAGGAGAAACGAATATATTCAGAACAGAAACCAGCTCGATAGTTCAAAGTGGATTCATCGCGGGAGTCTGCAGCTGACTGCAACAGCGGCAACTAGAAGCGCCGGCTTTCACCGTACATTGCTAGTTAATTTGCCTACTACATATGTGTTTCTTAACCTTTTAGGGAAATGTATAGCTTTTTATAATACTACACAGTAAGCTTTTTGCGCTCATTCTTCTTATCAGCTGAAAGATGTCCTGAATGGGTGGTACGGGAAAAAAGAGCTTTATGTAAATCAATTTAAATAAAGTATATACATATATCGATTATATTATATCGATATTTTATCGATTTGCATTTAAACATGGTTAAAAAAAGAAATAACTTCGTTGTTTTTTTTCATGAACGAAAAATGATTTGAATAATAATAAGTACCGTTACTGTTCGACGCTTTATATGGCGTTGTGAATTTAAAGAGAAAACAATGGAAACGTTGTATTGCAACTTCGGCCGTACCTACCTACTGTGCGAAAAAAAAATAGGCATTAACAAAGATGAGATTGTATAAATTAATGCTTTGTTTCTTTCTGTAGCTAAACTGCGTAATTATAATACAGGGAATTTTTGGCAAGCATAAATTTTGTGTTGATTCCTGAAATCACTTTCCAATATTGGAAGGGAACAGACAAAACAAGAAATAACTAACAAACATCCCAATAATATTAAAATCCTAAGAGGCTAATGATGACATTTTTGTGCAGTAGGTAAAATAAATTACTGATATATTAATAGATTGTTTTCAAAATCAGAATTTGCACAACCATAGTAGAGCAATAATGCGGGATTTACACTACCCAATTTTAACGGACCCTTACCCTGACTAAGGGTGGTGTAATGTGAGTTAGGGAGTAAGGGAACGATCTAGGGCGATCGACGCGGTGTAATAATTGCTCACCCTAGCTAAGAGCCACACCCACCTATTCGATTGGGCCTTTAAAATTGGGTAGTGTAAATCCCGTTTAACGCGGCTCGGAGTGCATGAACCGTGGCACTGACGTCTGTGTAGCTCTACGCACGATGTTTGTTACCATTTCTTTTTGAATATGTTCTATATCAACGAAAAAGTAAAAAATAATGGAAATTCAAACTCATGGAACACACAAGTATAATCTGTGCAAGGGCTGACAGTTTGCTATATTGCTTTCAATCAACTCTTCAACACAATTATTTAGTTTTCTTACATAACACAACTAATAGAGCAAAACTAAAGCTATTATCGACAAAATTGGGCAAAGAGCAATTTCCTTACTCCGACCTCGTGTCTACCCAGGACACACGGTCTGACAGGTAGTGAACAAAACAAAAGACAACGGAAGCACTTCCTCGTGGAGTGTGGCCATGACATTGACACCTTTTTTTAATGTCTGGGAAATTGCTCTTTTCTCGGCACCGAGGAGTTGCAACGAGGATATTTGAGGACCCCTCTTTACTCATTTCGTCCAACACAAAGGATCCGCGAATGAAGCAGCCCCTCTTATATCATCACTCCTCACATTGTGGCTTGGAAGGTGCTTCTTAAAACTTTTAAAAAAAATCCTGGGTTGTAGGAGGGAGTCAAATCTCACCGTTCGGATTGGAATAGTGGCCACAGTAAGTCGATGACAATGCAGGCCCGCGCGTAATCCTTTTATAGAAAGGGAGACGGTAGGATAAGGGATAATAGACCTAGTGTACGTACCAGCGTCTGCGGGTGGCGTCGGTGGTGTCGGGTCGCGGGGCCTTGCGTCCGCGTCGATGTCGTCTGCGTCAACAGCCGTCTCCGGGCCGAGGTCCTCGCTGTCACTGTCCGAGTGGTCGACGCCGTTGTCGGCCTCGGCGTCGGCGCATTCGGCCTCGGCCTCTGCATCGCCGCTATTTGTCAGCTGGCGTTTACACGCCTCCGCCTCCATGCCGAAGGGCGGCGCGTTCGCCAGTGGGTTGTCCAGCCTACGCAGAGCATATACCAAATCAAACCTTTCGTAAATACTTCCGAGTAATTTAACATTGGAAAAAAGCCGTTATTTTGATTCACTTATCTTTCATTATCTTATTGCCCTCATATTGATTCGTAAAAATTTCATTATAAGTAAAAATGACTCATTCGTGTCCACTGAATGGATATTTATGTGATCGATAAAATATTATAGACCTATATAAAAGGTTATCGTACTTGTGCACGTTTATTAATATTATAAAAATATTTTATTGACAAATGTAACAAAACAATTACCTTAATATGAAACCAAAATAATTTTAACTTTTAAGTATATTTATCAAATTAATTAATTCTGACTTGTCTTTTCTAGTCTAAAATGCGAAAATAATACTTTTATTCTAATAACAGACATTTAAATCTGTAATCATGGCATTGTTAATGTAAAATATGAGATAATGAACCATATTAGTAAGTCACACAAAGAACTTTTAAATCCGAGGTCAACAGGACAAGCTATTTCGAGTGATGACACTTTAAAGGCACGTGTAAATATAACCAACGACAGTTTTGTTTGAACTGTATCATAATATTGATCGGATTAAGTAAAGAAAGTCTGGAGCACGTTCCTTAGATAATATTACAAATGACATCACGATATTACCACACAATAAGTTTTACAGACAGGGTCGCCAACTCATAGACCAGGTTTGGGATTGCCCCATGTAATAAGGAAAAACGTTTATGTATGTATTGACAGCAATTCCAAGTAGAGGTATTAACCAAAACTACTGCAAAATACTGTACTTAATGCAAAAGAAACGCTTTTGTTTGTTTCTAAAGAAAAATGTAAGTAAAAAATATCTATAGAAAAAAGAATAGATGTGGAGTTAAAGTGAATAGAGCATTATTTATAAAATTGTCTTGTGCCTGATGGCACAATTCTAAAGTAAAATCCAACAGAGTCTTCATCGAGATAATGGCCCTGGTTCTGGTATGATTTTCTGAAGCTAAAACTCAATTTCTTAATTCATATCCGTATCATACTCTATTAAGAACAAAAGAAGAGCCTGCTGTCAAACTTATTTATAAATTTTAGAATATCATGCTAGAATTAGGCCCAATCAGGGGCCTAATTTACTCAAGGGCCAAAAGGGCCATGGCTTGGTGCGGCCAGGCATTCGTTACCGACCTTTAATCTGTAGTCTGTGGAAATGGCAGATATCTGCCAACGTCAAAAAAAGCCTGTCTGTGGAAGTAGCGGATTTCTGCCACGTAATATTAGAATAGATAAACAGAAATAGATGCAGAAAATATTCAAGATTGATTTAAGGCATAAATGAAGACAGATAATAGCGGATTTCTGCCACGTAATATTAAAATAGATAAACAGAAATAGATGCAGAAAATATTCAAGATTGATTTAAGGCATAAATGAAGACAGATAATAGCGGATTTCTGACACGTAATATTAATATAGATAAACAGAAATAGATGCAGAAAATATTCAAGATTGATTTAAGGCATAAATGAAGACAGATAATAATCACATTTTTTATGAACTAATTTAATTTTTCTAATAAAATCATCTTTAATTGTCCTATTGTAATTTTATCAAATTTTAAATTAATTTTCATTTAACCTTATTATTATTTGCAATGCCCTTGTAGTCCAGGCAACGAAAAGGTATAGAGCGAAATGCTTAGAACTTAGAGCTTCCAAGCATTTCCCTCTATACCTGTTTTTGAGCATTCGTTGCCTGGACTATTGTAGGGCTCATGTTTGCGAGCTCTTATTAGATTTAAGAACTAAATGTAACCAACATGAAGAAATAAATATTATGACTATGACTATGAAATTGTTTCCTTACACTGACCACGGGATATTTTGGTCTGGTGCAAATCGTAAATGGTTCGGGGCTCCAGATATGTAAATACACCACTGGGCCCAATGTACTCGTATCGTGTCGTGTGTTATCCGGCACCTAGAGTCCATAAAATTCAACTCACCCAAGATCCATGGGCGGGCGGTTGTCTGCGGCTATGTCGCGCGGGTCCTTCAGGAACACCACGATTATAGAGATATTGTCTGCGGAGGACTGCCGCTTCGCCTGCGCGATCAGACGCTTCGTCACCGCCTTCAAGTCATCTGTACGACAAAACAAAAACACATGTCAACACTATATTCATTATTTTTACCGCACAACGATCATAGTTGTCTTCATTTCGATTAAATAGACATCGATTATAATAAATTATGTGCAATACTGTTGGTATCTCGCTTCGATCGCTTCTTTAAGTTTATGATAAGTACTGGCTCAGTCTGGGAAGTTTTTTTTTAAATTGTATTTCTTTGTACGTTATATTCGTTACGTTTTCTTTAATTTATCCGAGTTGTCCAAATATTTTTTCCTTATTAAACAAGTACCTAGGTAAGTACTTTTCACAATAACCTTGTTGATAATAGTTTTCTTTCCCAAGCTCATTAATTTAAGAAAGTTGAGAAATAAACCACATGAGCATAAGCTGACTTTATTCATCCGACTTTTATCAGATGCAATTAAACCCATACGCAGAACTCGAAACGGTCGCAATTTCTCAACGGTATTATTATCCTTAAAATATCAGTGTGTCATCTAGGACAAAGTTGGAGTGTTGCGAAGTCCATTATGTCTGTAATTTGTTGCGGCACAATGGTGAATAGGCTCTGACGGATATGGAGTAACGATGTTTATGTTTCAGTTTGGCATGCAGCGCCTCTAGGCTACGGCTGCGAGGGCGGCCTTGTTCTGTCTCGCCTCGCAAGCCCGTGACTCATCCGAGATCTGCATTTCTAATGCGCCTGTCTGCACACTTATGCAATAAGTTATTCATTAACCGACTTCAAAAAAGAGGAGGTTCTTAATTCGGTCGATTTGTTTTTTTTGCAAACTCAAGTCTTAATTATTGTGTAAAAAAAATAACTATCCAACTAATTCACATTTAAAAGAATGGATAAATAAACAAATTTATGTAGGGAAAAATTAGTGGAACCAACGTATGTCAACAAAGGAAACATAATGTAATTTGGCGTGCGTTTTCAACGTTACAATTGCGTCATTGGCAATTAGGGATGGATATTGTTTTAATTTATATCGGTAAAAATGAGGCTATTTGTGCTTTCATTATACGCAGCCATCGACTGGTAGACACACCTCGTTAGGTGTGGCTAGAAGTCTAGTCATGTCAGGTCAGGCGATATTCGAAGGACGGGCAGGAATACTCGTAAGGATGCGTGTAGACGGGTACTTTGGCGGTAACAGCAGGAGCGGGTGCCGTGCTAGTTGAGTATACGCCTTGACTTTGGTCGCTATTTCTAGGCGCGGCTGCCGCCACCCCGCCCTTGCTTTTTTACCCTGTTTTCCCTGGCTCCGAGCCAAGACTGCCTGCCCCGACAACTTCTATTTCGACAGTTTACCAACAAACCCATCCGTATCCCTCGTATTAGCGCGACTTTGATATGATATTTATTATAATAATATTATTTTTAAACATTTATTTACTTGTCAAATAAGGATAAAATATTTTTGGATTCTTACAATTCTTTTGTTTGTTTGGCTTACGTTTAAACTGTTCTGAATTCACAATCATAATAGGCTTACATCATGGTTTCACATCATCATTAGGAAATTTCCCATTTTATTTTTCACATCAATTCTACAGCATCAGCATCAATCATCATCATCAAATTATGTATTAATTAATTACTTTTTTACTAAAGCCGCATTCGTGTCTTTCTGTACTCCTGAAGGTTGACTGGCAGAGAATGCTTTTAGCGTTAAGTCCGAATTTTGTCCATTTTGCAATTGTGGTAATAAAAGTTTAAATAAAAAAAACGACGGGTTGCACTCCGGGAGTGCCGGCAGAAGTGAAAACTTGAATATTAACGTTGTTCATTTTTTGATATTTTGGAATGGTTAGGGAATAATTTTGCACGAATTACTTTTATTATTAGTATAAAAGTACTATTATTTATGTGGTAGAATACAATATTTATTTATTGCGCTATCGAACACAAACATGACAATTTATATTACATGAAAAAGTTTATCTCTCAGAAAAATCAACTTACATGAATCACAATTAAGCGCACCTAGCGATATCTATTGTAAAAAATGAATTTCTTCGCAATTAAGCTGCTACCTGGACGTCCTAATTAGAGACTTATTATTATAATACGATAAAATAAAATATTACTATGTTTTGTCCAATATATTGAAAGTCAAAAACCTTTCCAATTTGATTGTTTTCGTCTTACGAATTTTCGATTAGGTCACGTGTCCTGACGCGATCAGGCCACGTGTCCTGACGCGAATTTAACAGTTTTTACCCATTACAAAAAAAGTGTACAACGCCGCTAAAGAAGTATTCACTTCAAAAAATAAAAATAAAATCAATGCTCAATTTATTTAACAAAATCAATATTAAAATGAAACGCTGAGGCGTTTCGGATCCATTGCACGGTCTGCATCATGATTCGTGATTAGTAAACAAAACCTATAAGAAACTTATATTATTTATCCAATTTGGCTTTCTCTCTTTCGATCATAGTTATCTTTATTTTAACACTATCTTTTTTCAAAGCAATCACTGGGCCAATTTTAGAGATGATTCTCGCTCAATAGCAATCTCTCGGGACTCGGTGGAAGATAATATAGATAGCAATATTACCTATTAGAACGTAATAAGAATGACCAGCGTTAAATTTAGCTTAAGGGAAAAGAGTAATGTCATATATCTCCGACTTCATCAAACCGACCACAAATAGGTATGACCTAAGCGCATAGGTACAAAACTTTCAAAACATAAAATACTCATGGACATTATATAGTCTTATCAGACTTCGATCAACAATATACCGCTGCTGTTGTTGTATGAAACGTTTACATAGATGGAATCCATCAAAAGTAGATGGCTCGGTCTGGGCGCGGACGCAAGACTCGGAAACATTGTCGGCAACGACCGATGGGTGATGATAGTGGCGATTACACCATCGGATAACGGTGAGCTTGGAATGCACGCGGCCTATTGTTCCCGTCTGTCTTTACGCCGCAAAAACGGACCACGGCTTCGCGACGCATACTAACACCGGCGCACGCGCACCTGCTACCGTCTGTTCCCATTAAACTACTCACATCAATATATAGAACATAACTTGTTATAAAATTCCAGCATTGGCATTCTAATCACGCTTAATAAATTACTACCTCGGTACATTATTACAAGTACTTTGATCAAAAACCACGTACAGGAATTCGTAATATTAGAATGAGTAACTACTAGGTGCTAAAGTCAAATCTAAAAATATAATGTTTATATTCATTTAAGCGAGTTGCCTAGATTGTGAAGACAAAAGTCACATGAGAAATCTGAAACTGTTTTATTCGTAAAGTGGATATCTTGCTATATTTATGGGAAGTCTGAACATAAATAAACATGTCCAACACTCCAACCGTGCATACAACATAAACACGGAAACTCACGGAAACGACGAAGCGCCCGTTTTTCTTTGCTCGGCTATTCTATTAAAGTAATCGTTCCTGGTCGGTAGTACCCATTTCCAGGGTAGTACCTATATAGGATGCATCTGTAGAAGAGAAGAATCAACAGCAATTTCTGAGAACACGTACGTCCGATTACCTAGCTGCTTTATAGAACAGTACACTCTATGTGTCTTGTGCCTTGGGCAGTGTACACTAAGTACTTCCTATTTCTGATATAAGTACCCTTAAGTAATTTTACTTGAACGTTTTGCTTCTGTTAGAAACTTATACCATGTAAGGCAAAAAAAGTTACCGATAGTAAGAAGAGCTCTAAACACATTTGAAAAAGTATTTTCAATCTTTAAAATGTTTGTTGTTGTTTTAATTACATAAACGGATCGCTTATCTTTCTTTACAAGCGGATTTAGTCTGAAATGTGAATAATTAAAAAGCAAAGCGACAATATTACAAAGTGTATCTACTTCAAGCAGATTTTTTTGCAGCCATTGCTAGTGTTATCTGCCAAGAGGATATACTGCACATTAAAATGTTCAGACGAGAACGAAGACTGTGCGGCGGCCGAGTAATAAAGGATATATTTATATACATAGGCTGGTGAGGGGGTAAACCTCCACCCCCACTATGCAATTTCCACTCAAAGCGCTGGCTCGACGGTCTGAGCTTAACTTCGTGAAACTACGATAGGGATAAAGAAACTTAATAACAACCTAGCTGACGCTGACGCCAATATACAGCTATAAACTTTATATTAGAGTGATTGCGTTGATAGCGAAAGGATTATGTGACATGCCGATATTAAATTTTACACGAAGGAACAGATATTTATATACTATAACGTACTCATCGTCGTTTTTGATACAAAACCCATGTTAATCGCTCACGTATTATGATTGTAACCATATGAAGATGAAATGATCAAATAAATAATGAATTTATTCTAATAACTTCCAATACAATTAAAACTTAATTGTCACAAAATAACTTTCAAGTTGTACCTATGGATGGTCCATGGGTACAAGTTCCAAGACTAGATTAGACCTAATTATCTTCGCATAATGTATTTTAAAAGCTCATTGGATCTCTTCTTATGGTTCTGTCTCTATTCATTTAGCATAATCCAAAATCTGTTCTAATACTTAAGTAAATCAATGTGCGATTGAAATCGGACGAGGCACAAGTCGTCTATCCACCCCGCGTTTATTACATGAAATTGTTGAAATTACGAAACGCCATTAGCCCCGATAATAGAACATACGCGAGCGGTGTGCTCGGAATGTGCGTTCATTGTATAAGCGGGAATCGAACCCGATACCGGTAGTGGTGCATACTTGCGGTCTAACAGTACCGCAACGCAAAGCCGACATTATCGTTGCATCACATAAAATAAGGGTACCAAGTTTAGTTCAGATATAGTCTAAACTTTTAACGACGTCTTTGTATTAAGCGATGCGAGGTTAGGATGCGAGGAAGAATTCTTTTTGGAATGATTATGTAGCTGCAAATATTGACTCAAATATTTAAACACCCGGTAACATTAGATTCATTACTACGGACAAAAATACGATTAAACAAGTCATTTACTAATACCTCCAAGTAAACATTATGA